TTCTCTGGGTTTCAGGTCGTTTTCTTTCTCTGTTCTCCTAACTCCTCTCCTCAGACTGACTCCCAGTTTCACAGAGTTTGCAGCAGGAGGCTCGAGTTGATGCGCTAAAACCTACAAGAACAAAACGCGGTTGGAACAGGAAGCGGCCTGCTCACCGTCGTCTCCTTCCCCGAGCTGCTCGGCTATCTTCGGGTAGTCCGACCCTCCCACGATGCCGATCTTCACTTTCCTCCGCAGAGTCTGGAAGAACTCGTCCAGCTTCGGGTCGATTTTCTGCAAATTACAAAAACATGTACTTTTTAGTGTTTTATTTTTATTATTTTTTTATTCACCAACAACATCTATTATCTGATAACAGATGTTCCTTTCGGAGTGTACACTGCTGAGAGCAAAAAAAAAACAACAACTAAATCTTAGTCATTGAAGTATCATAACATTGTGATAACATGACTGTAAAGTTTCATGTTGTGACTGTTGGAGGTGTGAACTGTGCAGACACACAAACACATTAAGCAATCGCTCTAGATAAGCCCCAACGCAACAACCAGCACTTTATTATTACTAAATCTGCACACATGCATTATTTTTCAATGGAAACCAAGAATATTAACAGCAAGCCAATGGAAGAGTCGAATAAACAAGAGTTGCGTGAAGTGACAATATACAATTTTAAGCAGCTCGATGCGCCGTGTTAACTCTGGAGGAAGCAGCATAAAAACGTCTTCAGACTGTATGAATGAGGACGTGATGCCGTGAGGACACAGTGTGCTCTCCTCAGAGTGGGAGGCAAAGGATGCAGCCGGAGAGAGAGCAGCAGCAGAGGAGGATGGAGCTGCTGCTGCTGCTGTAAGAAGAAAGAAAGACGCTTCTATTGACAGGCAAGCACCAACAATAGGATGCTTGTTGGATGGATGGGAGCTTACTTCTCTCGGCGGTGTCAGTGTGCCGTCCACGTCAAACAGACACAGGATGTTTCGCTGTGAGGAAAAGCCGTTTAAAGTCTCCATTTCTGGGCGGCTCGCCCCGCTGTTTTCTTCTCTAAAGATATAAGTTATAAGTGGGAGGTTCAGTCTCGAGCTTCTCGTATAATTTCACGTGAGGAGAAACTACATGCTGGTGTCCAGAAGTACTCTGAAAGACAGACTCAAACTGGAAGCTTAAGGTCGATATTTGTCGTCCTGTCCGAGCTGGAAGCGGCGTCCCGGTCCTTCGGTTCTGGTTCGGGTCGGTTTGGCTCAGGGTGACAGCGAGGTTTCCACTTCAGCGTGCAGTACGTGCTGTTTCCTCCGCTGCGCTGTACCACACCGGAGCCCATTCACAGCCAGGCAGTGACGTGGAGAGTGGGCGGGGCAACAGGCGGCTGACCTTTCACCTGCAAGGATGAGTTCAAGTGAGAAAGTAAACAAACAACAAAGGAGAAAGGATATTATATTATATTATATTATATTATATTATATTATATTATATTATATTATATTATATTATATTATATTATAGAATAGTTTGATGTGTTATATCATTCTACATTATATTATAGTATGATATGCTATGTTATGTTATATTATTATTCCTTACATTCTAAAAGCAAAATGTAAAGAAAGCATTGTATATTTACAATGTAAAGATTTTCTCTTCTGTTTAAAAACTGTCATCTCATCCTTCCACAGAATGTTTCCCAAAAGCTGTTGTGGATCATCAAGAGGTTTTTGGATAAATTTGAACCTGGGCCTTGGAGTTTAAGTTCATTTTAGTCAGAAGAACAGAAAACCCTCTCTTTCTTTTTTACTGTTGAATCATGAACACTGACATTAACTGAGGCATGTGAAGAAATGTTAAATTTAGTTTCTATAAAGGTTCAGCATTGTTCCATGTTTTGTGCATAAAGACCCTCTGTGTATTTTGCTAGATTTTCAAAATGACTTTTTAAACCTATACAAACTGATTGATGCCATTTATATCTATTCTTGAATTTCTCCAGACAGAGGGTATCATGTGTTGCTTGTTGAGATATTTCAGCCTATTCCATGTTCTCTGCGTGTTGCGCTAAGCCTGGAGAAAGAGTTAGAATTATGTTTGTTTAATATACATCCCTCTCATTGTGGGATGTATTCAGATTATTCAAAGCTGTTCACTCAAGACTTAGGAATCAAATTGATCAATACTGCTTTCTTCTTTTTTGTGGATGTCGTTTTAACAAGTAGAGTGCAGCTTCAGTACTGTAGAAAAAATATTTTTGTTTTTAGAAACTTCAAAAATACTCAATTTAATAATCAATTTAAGTTTGTATAAACGCAGTCACGTGACGTTTCCTGACCCAGTGCTCAGCTATTTGTGCTTCTACACTGACCCCTAGTGTTTTAAATGTGCAATTACTTCAGATCACAAGGTCAGTGGGTGAGTTTTTTCTTACGTCTCCTTTTTTCCCTTTAGTTATAAACCAAAATGTTAAACAGGACAAAAGTCTGCTTTATGTGGACAATATCAAAATTAATTCTGCGCACTGACTATTCAAGTTGTTTCTTTTTATGGCATCAGCATAAACTGTGTTCTCTGATAGATTTCATTCTCATAGTTTCTAAGGTTTTCAATATTTTTTTCCTCAAAATTATCACATTTTCCACTCCCAATATTCTTTCTAGCTCTTAATTTGTTCTTTGTAGCTGAGTCCATTTAATATGTTTTAATTACCTAATTAATAAGCAAACCCAGAAGAAAAATGTCAATCCAATCCAAACATACAGACAGATTCCAAGTCAGTAAAACTCTAAATTGTTCCTCGCTGCACCAAACAGAGAAGTGAAGTTCAGTTTATTATTCAAACTGGATAAAGAGTTATCCAAGGAAACCCAGCAGGTGGCATCAAGTGACTAAGTTGTAGCTTTCACTATCCCTGAATGAGGATGTGGCAACACTGAGCAATCACTTGAGTTGTTTACTTCCCTCATACATGCAGTAAGCAACAAGCTGAAAGGAAAACTCTGCTTTCACTGGAAGAAACATCTACCAGAACATGGATCAGTGGGAACCAGACAGCCATCTGGGGGGTTGATTCATCTATCTTCCCATAAACTTTGACCTCCAGTCCCTGCTGATAAAAAAAAACATCCACACAGCATCTTGTTGCTACCACCATGTTTTACAGTAGAGATGATGTCTTAAGGCTCCCGGTCGTCAATTTGAGCCCTAAATACCTCCTGCTAGTGTGTTGAAATTATAATGTATGCAGATGACACTGTCATTTCTACACACAAGAATGTGACTAAAGTTATCACATACAATGACAAGCGTTTCTGTTTGGCTTAAATAATCATGCCTCCAATAGTTAAAACTTAAGGATTCTTCCCAATATTTTTTATGTCAAAAGTGAAACTTATGAGTGAATTTTGATTCGACTCTCAGGTTTAAGATGTATGTAGTGGAAGTAAATAATCCTGTGGCTCAACAGGTCGGAGATTCTGTCTGGTTCTTAAAAGAAACTTATTTCATTGAGGAAGGAGACAAGGTTCCTCACAACTTTAAAACTCGAGATAACCTCCATATTTGTTTCCATGAAGTAAAAATAACAGATTTTTAGCAAAAAGTCAACATCAATTCAATGATGGGTCGTGATTATGTACTAAATTTGAATGTTCTGCTTTTTATCAGCTTTTAGTTTGTCCTGTCATTAGATTAACTAGAAAACACATTTACATTGAGTAAATGCATTTGATGAATTTATATTAAACTGTAGGTTTATGCTGTTTTTGCTAACGCACTGATATTTTAATGGATTTATTTTGCATTTATTCATCTTTTGCTCTTAGTAGCATTTCGAACCACAGCTGGGAATCTCTCTGTCGCTGCGAGATGAATAAATGTAATAAATGGATAATGGAAAACTCTTCTGACCCATTGTGTCGTACTGATGGGAACACCACAAATTGTCCAGCTGCTGTTTCACAACCCAGGCAACACAGAGACACTCTGTTATTTCCTTTGCTGTGTTGAAATAGCTGGAAAGCCTCTTCATGTGGAAATGTAAAGGTGCTAAAAGGTCGTTGTCCCCAATCCAGCCGTGTTACTGCAGCGTCATCCGTCTGTTTGCTCGAGATGTTTACGACTCTGGAAGGTGGCAACCGGACAGGAAGGTGTGTGTGATGTGCAGGAAATGTGGGACAGGAGCCTAAATGTGTTTGCTTGTTTTATTGGTTTGGTGACAGGATTACACAGCCTGGATCATGTGGACTGTAGAAGTGGCTGATTTGCTTTATAGAAGGAGGAAAACAAGACTTGCGTTCAACCCTGTCGCTTATTAACTTTTTAAAATTAGCAACAGCATGACAGACCAAACCAGATTCAGGCAACAGATGGGATAGACAGCAAGATACAATAATAATAATATTATTAAAAAACAGAAAGACGTAATAATATAATAACTTCATATTTTCAGGCCCTTTCATGCATTTTTCTAAATTTCAACCTATATAACTGTATAGGAAATAGACGAGGGCGTATTTGCAAATCTATTGCGATGGAACGTAGTACAAAAAATAAATAAAGAAATAAAAATAAATCCTCTCTGTTCTTTATGAAGTTCTGTAGTTTTTTACAGCTTCATGTTGCGATTAAAAGATTATAAAACATGCATCATGCTGTATTTCACATTGCCATGTTGTCATTGTCTTCCTCTGTTTAATGCTCAGTGACATGGAAAGAGTAACCCCACATGGATAAATATTTATTAATGAAATGGACAAAAAATAGGTCAGGCTTCCATCAGTTGGAGCCACTCCAACCATTCCACATGGTCAAATTCAGTGCAGATGGAGCAAATGCTTGGTGTAACATGAGATTATTTGTGTTTTTAAATTAGCCTCTACATAAATTATGTTTAAAATATAAATCACACTCATGATGTAGCATACAGAAATGGAATTAGGTGAAACTGAAGCATTCTTCATCATCTTAAATGTGACACCATTCATATCAACTACAGAAACTCAGAATTGTTAGATTACAGTCTCCTCAGTTATGGCCAAAGTGTTGCCATATAAACCATGCAATTAGAGAGCATATAAACATGCAAATGATGTTTTTGAACACAAAGACCTCAATCTGTTTCCACACACGACTTTAAGAAAGGCCAACATTTCGACTCTCCATGCGGTTAAAGCCAGTGGTCTTCTACAACATGAGCACTAATTCGATTTGCGCATCCGGCTGGGTAAGGACGGGCTTTTTCAAAAAGTGGTGACAATGGTTTACGAGCAGACTTTTATTGTCTAAATCCACCTTGATTTTATAACCAACAATATTTATCTACTTGGCTTTATGGGCCTCCGGTGACCTTTGCCCCTTTACCACCATAAAGGCTTCTTCTGCTCCTTAAAGCAAAAAAAAAAGAAAAAAAAGAAAAGAAAAAAAAAAGGGGGACATTGTGTTAGAAAGCAGACAAACAGGCGATGTTTACAATATTTTGGTATACTTTTTAGGAGTGCTGTTTTTATTTATCCTGCAGAGGATTTCTGTACTAATACACACAGTAAGATCACGTAGCATTAATAAGACACAATTCAAACATTGATTTTCTTTTAGGCTCGTGATTTTTCTTAATGTGGGATGTTTGTCTGGATGGAGTGTGGGAGTTTTTTCCACTCTTCCCTCCCTCTCAGCCGTGCACTGATTGTCACTTTGTAGTTGTTCATTAACTCATATTAGACAGGCAGACTCGCCTCCATCAACACGGAGCGGAGCTGATCTTAGACTCCAGCTGAAGAAACACCAGGCGCTCAGGGAAACACTTTATCTCTGCAATCTTACTATTGTTCTTGCTCTCCGAAAACGTTTAAGTGTCAACATCTTAAAAAAAAAAAAAGCTGGTTTTTCTCCTCTTATCTTGATGCCGGAGTGTCAATCGGGAGAATTTCTGCTTCGCCACCTTCTCACTTCTGTTTTTGGATTTTCGCCGCCAGTGGAGAGGCTCAGCTCCGACACGTGTAAAGGCCACCAGTTCACCCGAACCGGCTCGTATTTATTTATTTATTTATTTTGACACTCAAAACCTGGAAGAGGCGCGGATTTGTGAGGACCTGAGGAAAATCTCCCGGATCAATAATGCGCAGCTGGGACTGTTTACTGTACCTGGGAGTGCTGGGAGCGGTGGGACTGGTGGCGGCGGGCCACAAAATGCTGGACGACTGCTTGGCATCAAACCGTAAATACAAAATGAACGTCGTTGTTCTGGAGGACAACAACTTCGAGTGGAGTCGGCCGTTTGTGCAGACGGCCGTGGAGCAAGCTATCGAGAAGGACAGGCAGAAGAACATCGACAATGGTATGGTGAACATAAAAACCCAAACAAACTGGTTTCCAGTAGCTTACAAAACAGCCTAAAACCAAGAACTTTGACATATATTTATTAATTATTTCATAAATAAGAGTTAGTCACTTGATATGAGCTGGAATTGATCTACAAACTGTTAAACGTGACAGTGTACAATCAAAATGGCTGATAATGAATTTGGTGTTTTTGCATTTCATAATTCTTCCCTCCTTCAAAAGATTAGCAAACATTTAAAAACCTATTTTATTTTTCTAACTTTTCTGCTTGGAAATACTTCAGAATAAACTTTGTTGTTTTTATTTTTATCATTTATAATAAATAATATCTCAGCAAGATTTAACTTACACATGTCCATCAAAATGCATGCTTTATTTTGTGTGTAGAATATGTTGAGTAAAAGAAAGAAAATGCAAAATATGGGACTATTACTTCAAAAAAAAAAATAGATTTTCCTATAATCTCCTCCAATTATTTTTTATTTATTGAAGATTATTTAATAATTTACACAGGCTAGTTTCAGTTAATACATTTTAAAAATGATTAGAACAAGAAAATTTAGATTAAAATTAAGATATATGCATAAAGCGGTGGAGCTGAAAACACATGAAAGATAAAGAAATCGGTTTAATTTTTCTACCCAGACTATTTAATATTTAATAAAAACTTCAGTCAAATTATCCAGATAAATTTCTGTCTCTTATTTTTTGTGCTTTTAAAATGATTAATCATATTTGCTCAGTTTACTGTAAAACTGTATGTCCGTTGCTGTAGCTAAATGGGAACTTTACATGGATCTGAATCAAGTTTTTAATCCAATAACATTTCAGATTTGTTATTGTTTCTTTTTTTTTTTTATGTTTTTCACACATGTAAACCCACACCATTAATTTTTCATATTTTAATGCGATCGAAGGAGTTCAACTTTGTGGATGGATTTAAGTTTAAGTACAAAATACACATTTATTGACGTCTGATCATCAGATTTATGACAAGTTGGAATAATCCTACCAAAAGGGGAAGCGTTGCAGGGTGGACATCACATCATGTGTGGCCTTTAGCTCACATATTCATGTATTTGTTCACTGATTAATTCTGTTCAGGGTAGCAGAGTATCTGAAACTTTTCCCAGAATTCACTGGTTAAACGCATCAGTTCACGACTGCATGCTCCACCTGCACTTAGAACAAACGTAGCACTGTTTGCACGAACCTCTTGGTTTTAATAGAGTTTTAGCAACTATGACACACATTACTGTCGCCATCGTGTTAATTTTCAGGTTAAAGATTATTCATCAGATCAAAGCTGCTGATGGTGTTTCTTATCTTCTAATATATTCAAGCGTATCTAAGATCTTGCTTTATGAGGGTTTAACTTAAGCACATTTTGTTGATTCTCCCGCTCATTATGTTGCCCAATTTATATAGTTCATATCACAGTTTACAGTGCTCTGCTGCGTCAGGACAGGGCAACTTACTTTTGTTACCATATCGTTTTTATTTATCAGTGAGGCTGGATGTAAATATTCATTATTCCATAAATATTTTGACTTGGCTAAAATGAGAGAGTCTTCATTAGGGCAGACAGAACCTCTGCACAGTGTAGCATGAGATTAGATACTTTCTATTTTTGGATTATTGCTGCAACGTTGGAGTAGCAAATTCTACCTTACTGCTGTAATAATTGCACAATAAATGATGTCTCAATAGCCCTTAATAGGTAATCTTTTAATAGCATTTATTACATCTCCTGATGAACTGAAATGCTCCAGCATGCAAAGACGGAATGAAATCGACTCACCAATACGTTCCATGTAAACCTACAACCAGTATGAACTCTAATAATAGTAATGTGAGATTTTGGAGACGATACAAAGACAGCAGCAGCAGCTGATTGGTCCACAATTACACGCACAAAAACTTTGCTTGTATTTAAAGCAGTGAATAAATTTTTGCAGCATCCGATGGGGTTTGTAACACGCAGCTCAGTTGTGGAGAAATCCTCTGAACGCTGGCAATTATAAGACACACCGCTTTGATTCTACAATCCCAGAAACATGAACTAAAAAAAACCTGAACAAACATGAATATAACAAATACATGATGTAAAAAGAATATGATCCAGTTTAAGCATTAATACGCTGGTGTCCTTGTTTCTCCACCATCCTAACATAACGGCCTAACTCGGCTGTTTATCACATTTCTTACAACGTTGAGCGTTTCGTTGTCGATAACGGCTAATCAGTGGCATACTTTCCGAGAGAAACTACAGGCAAATAGTTTATCTCTGGGTGGTAAAAGTCGGTCTAATCTAATCTTTAATAACCCCTGGAGATCAATAAAAGAAATTTTATATTAATATGTCTTATCTGTTTTGCATGACTCAAGACCTGGACCTCGTTTTGACGGCCAACTACAACGGGTTCAACACCACCGTGTACAACCGGCAGGGCTGCGGCAGCAGCACCTGCGAAGGAGTGGCGATACTCAAGAAGCTGGATGTGAGTTTGGTCAAATGTGTTCAGAGGAAATTTACTTTTGTTTTTTTTTTTTCTTTTTTTAAATGCGGTGCACTTGTTAGGGTTCAGATATTTCCAAGTCGGTAAGGTGGAAGTGTCAGGCCGCTGACACTTGGGTTTTATTTGGAGACCATCAATAGTGACAGGATCTGAACCACAAGTTCCCCTTTTGCGTTTTAATTTTATTACAGCGAGATTAGCTTTTGGCTGTATATCTGCCGCCGCTGCCAGAGCAAACGGTTGCCGTGGCTCTCATTGTGCACAAAGATCAGCGTCCTGCTCACAACGCAGCCGCATGGCGCAGGATCTGGAAGCTCAATAAAACGACCTGCTTCCTTCACAACCAACTTCAGATTTATAATGAAATATGAATATTTAAGAGTTCAGGGGAAGAAAAGTTTCTGTGTTACACTATGAGTCTATTTCAATCTGGAAAGACTCAGACGAAGAAAAAGGAACAATTAAAAGGTTTAATGACAGCAATGCATAACAGTTCTTTGGCGCTCGGGCCCCGGCAGCTGATCTGAGCTGAGATTTGATGTGAACTCGATGAACATCCCGATAACCGATTAGGGATGCTCTCCCCCGGGGCCCGACACTGGTGGTGGAGGTCTGGAAAGGGTGCCATCCTGGAGAGCCAAAGGATGTGGGTGGAGAAGGGGAGGTGGTGGGTTGAACGCAGCTGGGAAGCGGCCGACGACTTGGGTGTGGATCCTTTTATGCTGAGCTTGATTGATGATTGGACACGCCAGGTGAGGTCCAGCGCTGAGGACTGAGATGAGCATGACGCCGATGGACGAACGGAGGGGATGGAGTCTTCCAGGTTGAATTTCCGCTATTAGCTTCATTTCAGATTTGGAGTTTTAATTAGTTTTATTTACATGTAGATTATTTGAAACCGCCAGAAATAAAAACATAACAACAAACTCCATGTCTTACATTGCAACAAAAAGACCGGCCACTGTTAATATGAAGCTGGGTCTTTTTACATACAGCTGTGAGGTCATGTTTATCAGAAACTTTTTAGAAAATAATGATTCATGCAATTTCTCTATTTTTTGGGGCAAACTACAAACTACCTGCCTGTTGTAATTTGCATGCAGAAAACAGTCCAACCTATAGAGAGCAAAGAGTGCAAAACAAAAATATCAGCAAATCTTTAGGATTTTTTTCACATCTCATACAAATTTTATTGGAGTTTTTTATGAACGATCAGCACAGAACAAAAAAGTGAGAGAAATGTGATACTAGAGGTGGGCGATATGGACGTAAGGCTTTATCATAATATTTTGTGATAATGATAAAAGCGATGATAAAAAGTTTTTGCTCATTTTTTTGCACAGCAATCACATCCCATAAATATAAATACTGCTCTTAAAATCATTCCCATTTGTAATGCGCTTCATTAGGACACCAGTCACATGAAGAAATGTGATTTTCTTCCACTAAACTGCACACAATAACAGCATTTAATCACATTATCAGATTTATTTGTCTTTCTTGATTGAACAAACAGTGAAGAAAACAGTAAAACAACAATTTCGACAATAAACATTAATTGGAATTTATTGTGACGATGATATATCAAAACTCTCATCACAATAAGAAATGTATCGCGGTAAATGATAAACGATACGATACGTGACACACAGTTTTCTACATTTTAATAAAGCTTTTCCTCTTTAAGTGGAACTGGTTTCACTGGATTTTATTTAGGAGTATCAGAGAGTTGGGGGCTGAACTGCAAAGCGTCCAGTTCTGGTTTTTACCAGTAAAAATGTAGAAAACTATATATCATGTTCATCCACTTCTCTGCTCCGCACTACTTTGTGTAAGTACAGCTAAATATGAAGTAATTACTGACTTAATACGAGCTCGTATATCTTACTGAAAAGTTATTTGTAAGTTAGTTTTATCTTAATTCAAGTTCACTAAGATATCAACTAGAAACTAGACCAAAAATGTTTGGTAAAATTCAGAGTATTTGCAGTGAAATGTTGAGCATTGTTTCCAGGGAGTGAATTATCGACAGACTTTTAAACCCATTTGTGATCAACATTCAATCGTTTTGTGCTGTAATGTGTTGCAGCACAGCAATGAAGTTGGATGCGTCATGCTGGGACCTTCATGTACTTTCGCCACCTTCCAGTTAGTGGAGTAAGTACAGCTAAAGGTTTTCTCTGACCAAACACATCTTCTCAGTCCACTTTAACACTCACCCTCTTCCACAGCGAGGAGATCGGCTTGACCCTGAGCATTCCCATCATCTCTGCTGGCAGCTTCGGCCTCTCCTGCGACTACAAGCCCAAACTGACCCGCACTTTGCCTCCGGCTCGAAAAATCATCGATTTGTTCCTCAACTTCAAGACCGAGGAGCTGAGATTTAAGCCCGAGTGGGATAAATTCTACGTGTACAAGAAACAAGTGAACAATGCGACCGAAGACTGCTTCTGGTGAGCCGCTGGGAATTTAACCCGACTTCACTTTTACCTTCCTCTCCATCATCTTCGGTTTTCTGCTTTTCCAAAAAAAGGTACATTAACGCGCTGGAGGCGCCGTCTGCGAGGTTCGCGTCTCAAACTCAGAGGGTGATGGTGCGGGAAAAGAAGGACCTGCAGAACATCATGAAGACTTCAAAACGCCACAGCAACAGTGAGTTTATTATTATTATTACTTTGTTTTTTTAACAATATTAATCTACCATGAAACAGAAAAAGCTAAGAAAAATCTACAAAAAGGGAAATGTTTTAAAAATGTTAAGATATTTTTTTCTATTTGCACAGATCTGAACCATTTTCTTGTAAATCTTGTAATTTTGTGAGAACAACTTTTGTTTTATTTTATTTTGTTTTAGAGTGAATTTGCTGCATTGTTCTTGTCAGGCAGGTGAATAATCAGAATGTAGGTGGTGAACAGGTTTTTTTCTTTCAGTTATTATTTTATGTGGCGGCCCAGAAGAAATTTCTTTAATCAAGAGCGACGTGGACCAGATTCACCCAGACACCTTGTTCATTCTGCTTGATCTTTATAAGTAAGTTCACTCTGAATTTTGAACAATCGAAGGACAAAGAAAAACAAAAAGTGATGCAAGACATTTTCCCCGGGGTATGACCTTTTTTTTCCTCAATCTAGCCCTGAATATTACATCAATGAAATGGCCCACGAATGGATGCAAGACGTCCTGGTCGTCACTCTGCCGCAGAGGAACTACAGCTACAACTCAAACTCCTCATACAACAACATGGTGAGCGGATATCCAACAGAGACCAGACGGTGAAACCGGTTTGAAAATGTTGTTGATTAGTTTGATTTTTCTTTGTGGGCAGATAAATGACTACATGGCTGGATACCATGACGGAGCTCTGCTCTTTGGACAAGTGCTTAGAGATCGGTTGATGAGCAAAAGGCTTGGCAGGAAGTCTGAAGACGTGAATCACAACCCGTTCGCAAACGTGACTATCGAGGGTGAGCCGCACTGTCAGGAGATCAGACGAATAACATCAAGACAAGGAAATACTAACTCTAAACTAAACACAACTGGTTAAAGAAACAATTAGTAACCAGGCAACAGCCATAATTAAACCTGATTAAAATACAAATGACTATCTGGAGCTTACAGTCTTTTAGAGGCTGAGTGACGAAGGACTTTACTGCCAATCTTTTACCTTGGAGGGTGTAAAAGAGGAGAGTCAGAAGTGAGACAGACTCTGATCAGCCGACTTCATCAACATCCACGGCTCAGCTGTGACTCGCAGAATTAAAACCATAAATTTATCGAATCTTTGGACGATTCAATAAATGGGAGTTCAGGCTCCATTTTACCTGTATGAGTATAAAACAGCAGAAAATAGTATTTATTATAATAAAAAAAGTTATTCCAAACTGTTTGTTATTCCAATCTGATGAGATGTTTATTAATTTGGCCTGAATTTTGTGGCCATTCATTCATTCATTCATTCATTCATTCATTCATTCATTCAGAGTTATTCCGTAAGGCAGTGTCTTGAATGGTGGGCGTGGCTTATGAATGAAAGCGTAATCTGACCTTTGACCCTTTACAAAAAGAATGATTGCTATCAGCTGTTTGGCTTAATGAGCTGAACGTTTAATGTCCTCCAGTTTATGATCCATAATGAAGTTCATCATCTACTTTTTCACATGTTTTACGGCAATTTTGCGACAAATCCTGTGATTTTTGGCAAGTTCCTCTGCATTCGGTTGCACTTAAAAGTTTCAGATTGTCAAACAAGTTTTGGCATCGGACGAAGATTTTTAAAATCAGGGTTTAATTTTTTAAAGACAAAAGCTGAACAAACCAAACTGGGAAGCAGGGATCACACTCTAAGCCAAACGCTGGCGACAATTGTCAAGTGTTTGAGAAAAAAGCCTTTTTTTATACTTATTTTCATTCAGCCATATTAGATCATATTAGAGAATATCCAGAAGCAGATTTACGTACCGACTTTGACTCCAGAGACTCTTTTTGTTTGTGTGTTTGTTTTTAAACTGTTCAGAGGTGTGCTGTATTTGTTTATTGCAGTTTAATAGTGCATGTTTATGTGTTGTTGTTGGCGCAGGTATGGGAGGACACGTTGTGCTCGATAAGCACGGAGACAGAGACGTGAACTTCTCCTTTATTTACACGTCAGTGAAAACCGGGAAGGTGAGCTCAGGGTTGGTTTACCAGCCAGCGCAGACAAAACAACAGGAGCACGTGTTTTGATTTCTGGTTTCTCGTCTCACACAGTATGAAACTCTGCTAGTGTTCGATTCATCACAAAACAGAACCATTGAAACCCACCCGAACCCGGCTCTGGGCTGGAAAGGCCAACTTCCTGACGATGAACCGGAAAATCCAGAAGGTAAAGAAAGTGTTAAAGTTTCTAGAGCAAAAATCTGAGCTCACTTGAAATAAGACAAAACGAACTTACAAGTAACATTAACAATGCACAATTATGCAAACAGATCAGTTATTTATTTTACCTTTGACTTTTTCTATAATATGCTTTCCAACCTGAATCGTACAGGAGAAATGTAACATCACATAAGAGAAGTCGGAAATTATTCCTCATGGTCTCATTTGACGTGAAAACGTTTCATTGCCGCTGTATAACATCGTACTGCAGGATTATTTCAGCAGCTGTTAAAGATCTACGTCTTGTTTAACTAATGTGTGTTTTTCTTCAGATTTAGGTACACAGGACGTGATCGTGATCGTTTTGGGTGTCAGCGTTGTCGTGGTGACCGCCATCGCTCTCATCTTCTACAGGTAAACACCGGAAACGTTTCCCGTCTGTAAACGCAAACGCCTCCCGCTCTCCTTTCTTTGAGCCTCTCTGAGCGACTACAGAGATAAACTACAAAAAAAAAAAAAAAAGACATTTTGTGATTGTGCACCACTTGACTGAACCCCACTGTTTGTCTGTGAACGCCGCCAGGCAGAACAGGAAGGAGCGTCAGATGCAGAAGAAGTGGTCCCACCTCAGTCCGCACCTGATTGGTCCTCTTGATGAGAAGGAAGTCTCTCTGAAGGTCAGGACTGTCGTCCAGTAACAAACTGAACCTCTAAACTGGCATTGGTGTTTTATAAACAAACATCAATGCCAGTGAAAAGAGACATAAGGAATCTTTATCATGTAGAACGGCTGAAAGTCGAATTTTTAACTCTTCTTCACCAACTATAAGAGAGTCTGGCGACTGTTTAGTCCAACCCAGTAAACAAGCCATGAGGTCACAATGCAATCATCTGGACTTTGAAACCCACTGAGAACAACTGAGAGACGGGCAGAAAGTCCAGCAGCGACTTTTTGTTGTTCACACCAGCAGCCTGGGCCAGAATGTAGCGGCAGTAGCCCAGGGCTGCAGCTGTTGGGGGGCTCCAAAGGTTTTTCCTTTTTTTTTTCTTTTTTTTTTTTTTTGCATTGTAAAACATTGTATGATATATAAAATTTATTTGCACAATTGAAAATGTTGACTATATAGTAGATTTCTTTGGGAACAACATGAAGACTACCTATTAATGTAGCCATCTGCCCGTCCATTTGCAATAGTAAAATAATTATCCTGCACATGATCCATGTTAAAAAAAAAATTTGTTAATTTGTTACATGTTACATTTGCTTGACATGACAACTTATTAAACTTTACTTGGATAAATTAGTTACTTATAACACATTTAAAAAAATTTTTTTTTATAAAATCGGATCGCATGTTTTTCTTTTTCATTGTTCTGTAGAATGGTTCAGATAACATTCATGTGTTAGAATGGTCTAGTCAAAGTTCAGACCCTAATCCAATTGACTTGAATGGGTAAAAATTGATTTACGTAGTTCGTTTTTCTTTCCCGGTGTGTAGCATCTATTAAATTAATGAATGTGGGAATCCTTTCATAATAATCTGTCCGTTTAAAATCCGTGTTTGTTGTTTTTGGAAACAGATCGACGACGATAAGAGGAAGGACAGCACTTACTTCAGACAGCGGGGCTGCTACGACAAGAAGGTAATTTTATTCTTGCTTCCAGAAATCCACAAGTGCATTGCAAACAAATAGTTGTATGTTTGTTTAAAATCCTTCCCAGCCTGTGATCCTGAAGGAGCTGAAGCATGCAGAAGGAGATTTCACCGAGGAGCAGAAAATTGAGCTCAACACTGTGAGATCCTTTGAGTTTTGTTCAGAAGCTTCTACTAAAACACACAGTACAGATATTCATCTATGCCACATATGCTGATGTTACATCTGTTTGTGTTGCAGCTGCTGCGGATCGATTACTACAACCTGACCAAGTTCTACGGCACAGTGAAGTTCGAGTACGGCATCTTCGGGGTGTTTGAGCTCTGCCAGCGGGGATCCCTCAGGGTAGGACCAGACCCACCCTGCCTCTGGTTTCACCTTTATTTCCCACCTTTTTCTGTGTTTTATCGCTCTATAAATTCTTTAGTTGTATTTCAAAAACACAGTCAGTGTCAGTCATTGAGCTCAGCAGAACTGGATGAAAGAAAGACGGATTTTAAATTTATGAAACGACGGAAAAAATGTGTAGAATGCCTTCATATAAATACTTTTTTATTGTTATTGTAGTGACGTGTTCTCAAATTAAAGAGTTTGACCTTTAATTTGAATGTGAAAAAAATAAATCCATATTAAGAAATAATTGTTTTTAATAACATAATGCCCTGAAGGTAAAAGGCGGTAGTGCAAAGTATTAACAGCTTGATGACATTGATACATGTAACTAATGTCATTTTGGAATAATAGAACAGAATAATAATGTAATTATCCCTTAGTGGAGAAATTTGTGTGCAAATTGACACAAATTAAAGCTGGAAGATTCATACAAGATTAAACGTAAAAGAAAAGAACTAAAGATGATAATACTGAGGAACATTTTTTTACTTTGATGTAATTTGTCAGTACACAAATAGAATCTGATTTGTTTTGACTGATAGAATAATATTTAAGCTCACAACTTTTATCTTAAAGTTCTAGTTATGGGAGTTTAGAGTTTAAAGTCCAGACGGCCACTTGAATAGCTATGGGGGCCAGATTTGGCCCCCGGACCGTGAGTTTGACACCTGTGCTTTGTAGGACAAAAATAAAACCGCGGAGCTATTAAAAATAGCTTTCTAAGACTGAAGGAAATGTGCGAAATTTGTGCAAAAACAACAAAAGACGTTTTTAACAGAATAAGGAAAAGTTTGAAAAAAAAAAAGACGATGTTAATGTTTTTGTTGTTGTTTTTTTAAACCACAAAATAAATATGTTAAACTTAGAGGTTGTTTCTAAAAGATTTTTTTAATGTGAGATTATGTTCCACAGTAAAAAATAAATGCATCTTTTACCCAGGATGCCATTAAATGTAGTCGGTGCTGTTCATGTTTAGCGCAGCCAGGAATTAACTTTTTATGTTTCCTAGAATCAGCAGCTAAAACCATTTCTGTCCTCGTTGCTCTGATCTCACTTCCTGGATCCTGACACACATCCTGTTACTCAGTGGCCTTATTTCCACAATGCTCCTAATAACCTTATTGCCTTCTTTATGATTTATGACACTCTGTGCAGCGCGCTAATGGTGTGTGCGTGAATGCACACTATCTGAGGTTTACACACACACACACAGAGTGTCTATTAAGTGTTCCAGTTTTTCCCATTCACCTGGCAGAGGCTGTGAGCTCAGAGATAAAAGCCATAAAACATAAACTCAATCTTTGCTTGTTTATTATTTTTTCTTCTTGCAGTACATCCTCAATGACAGGATATCCTACCCAGACGAGACCTTCATGGACATGGAGTTTAAAATATCCGTCATGTACGACATCGCGAAGGTAACATTAACATTACCTGGTGTCACGTTGAAAACTTTGGTTTCAGATTGGTGTACAACTGAGCATTTTTGTCATGTACTTGATGTGACGTTTACTCAACAAAAAAAAAAAAAAAAAAGATGCAGCACCTTCAACCGTTTTCAGCATTAATTTAAAATAAAGTATTTTATGAATATTAACACAACGTGACATCTTGAAGGTTATACTATAAAACTTAGTTGTTGTTTTTTTTACATTTTGTCTCATTTCAACCACAAACTTTAATGTTTCTTATTGGAATTTTATGTGAAACACAAAGTAGTGAAGCAACTTCAACTCTGACGAAACGCCTCCCCACAGCATGATGCTGCCAACACCATGTTTGTTTGTAGGGATGTTGCGTTAAAGGTGATCTGCACTGTCAGTTTTAGTGTTGTTGAAATTGAGGCACAGGTGGACTCAGTTTTCTAATTAGGTGACTTTTAAAGGAATTGGTTGCAAAGGGTTTTATTTAGGGGTATCAGAGTTGATGGGACTGAATAAAATGCGTCTTTCGGGTTTTATTTTGAAGGGATAAACCTTTTAAACTCTTTTTTTTATTCCACCTTATAATTTCACACTACTTTATGTTGGTCTGTTTGCATAAAATCCAGCTAAAACACTGAGGCTTGTGGTTCCTACTGCAGCAAAATGTGAACAAAAGTTTATTAATGTTTGTTGCAAAGCTCTGTAAAACATCAAATCTTTTTCACCCCCATCCTTACAGGGCATGTCGTACCTGCACTCCAGCAGCATTCCAGTCCACGGTCGCCTCAAGTCCACCAACTGCGTGGTCGACAACCGCATGGTTGTCAAGATAACAGACTTTGGCTGCCACACCATCCTGATGCCAGGCAGAGGTGATTGTTGCCCTCTGACCCCTCGTCCTAAACCTGAGAGTATCGGGCACTCAGCCTCTCTCCGTCGCTGCCTTTCAGATCTTTGGACGGCTCCGGAGCATCTCCGCAAAGACGGCGTGTCGCAGAAAGGCGACGTCTACAGCTACGGCATCATCGCACACGAGATCGTTCTGAGGCAAATGCCGTTCTACACCCGCTCCTGCTTTAACACCGCAGGCAAGTCGCCGCTAAAACGCTCCGCTTGTTCATTTTAGTTAAAAGATTTAATTTAGCTTATTTCTCTGTGTGTGTGTGACTGAGCTCCTATTAGTATTTACGTTCCTCTTCTGTAATCTCTCAGAAAAACTGCACAGAGTTCAGTATCCCAGAGGAAACGGCTTCTTCAGACCAGACCTCTACTTTGAGGGAATATCAGACAGAGAAATTGAGGTAAACATCACATTAACAAGCTGTTGTTTTAAAGCAGAGTGATTATCCATAGCTTGACAGAACTATGAAAACCCTTTATCTTTTTTAAATGATCTCACATTATTTGGGTTTCATGATATAGACCAAAACAAATTAGTGGATAATTACAAAGTTGTTTTTAATTCAAATAATGACTCTGAACAAAGCTCTCTTCATCTGAGGGTAGCCTTTAAAGAACAATTATTTATACTGTAGTGAGACTTTATTGACTAGTTAAATGACCTTTGAAGAAATTTAGTTCCAGTAGATTTTATTTAGGGCTGTCAAAGTGAAGTAAACCACTAAACTTCATAATTATTGGTCTGTCTTTCTTATAAAACCCAAATGAAATACACAGAGAGGTTTGTGATTGTAACGTGACAAAGAGTAAAAAGTTCAAGGAGTATCTATAATCTTGCTTTGCACTGTAAGTGTTATAAAAATAGCCTGTGTTTATCAGCTCCAGCTGAATAAATGACCCATTATTCTGCCTCCTGTGTGCCTGTGAACGCAGCTCTACATGCTGATAAAGAGCTGCTGGGATGAAGACCCTGAGCGAAGGCCAGACTTCAAGAGGATTGAGTTAACGCTGGGAAAGATCTTCAGGTACGTCAACACGTCTTTACATCATTTTAAAAACATTAAATATGGCTGAAGGTTACGTTCCAAAGTCAAATTTTATTTTATTTTTTTGCTTTTATTTCCACAGTAACTTGCACAACCAGGCCACGGAGACGTACATGGACAACCTGATCCGCCGGCTGCAGATGTACTCCAGGACTCTGGAGTGTTTGGTGGAGGAGAGAACGGCTCTGTACAAAGCCGAGAGGGACCGAGCGGATCGCCTCAACTTCATGCTGCTGCCTGGGTACGGCCATTTACTGAAAAACCCTGGAACTAAACCAGAGCAGGTCCAAAGCTGGAAAAATGATTTCTGCAACTTTTCCTTTGTTTTATGACACCTGGAGACAAAATAAAGTCGCCATATTTTCTCCTAAAACTAAATACATGGTATTATTACTGACTGTGTCTTTATTGACTGGTGACATGGACACACACATGCAGAATGTCTACATGCTACAAATCTTCACATTTAAGCTGAAAATGATAAGTTCCTCTCCGTGTGTTTGGCTAGTCCTGTGGTGCGTTCGCTAAAGGAGACGGGAAGAGTGGAACCCGAGCTGTTTGAGGAGGTCACCATCTATTTCAGCGACATAGTGGGCTTCACCACCTTGTGCCACTACAGCACCCCCATGGAGGTGGTGGACATGCTGAACGAGATATACAAGAACTTTGACAGCATCCTGGATCACCATGACGTCTACAAGGTAGCTCAGTGCAACAGCCGACGGGTGGGAGCGATCCGGTTCTAGGGTATACGTTTCTTGATCATTCATTGGTCCCAAATTTGTGGAGAGATACGGTCAAGATTGAAAAAAGCCTGATTTATTTTCCCTTGAGTGAATGTTTCCCTTTGGCCTCAGGTTGAGACGATAGGAGATGCCTACATGGTGGCGTCAGGGTTACCCAAGCGAAATGGCGACAGACATGCGGTGGACATCGCCCACATGGCCCTCGACCTCCTGTCGTTTGTTGGGACTTTTGAGTTGCAGCACCTGCCGGGGATTCCTCTGTGGATTCGCATTGGAGTACATTCAGGTACCAAACACTCCTGATTCTTCTACCCAACTACCTACAAAAGCATCAATAAATATCAATGCATTTGAAAACATGATTTGCTGTAGTTGCTGTGTGCAGCTTAGTTGCACAAATCAAATGTTTTTTGTGAGACTTTGTGTCGTTTTACAAATAGGAATGTTTCTCAAGAGCATCATGTGTTTGTTGGGTTGTGATTGCTGCACCATGCAGTCACGGCCTACGGTTACCTAAAAAAGTTCCATAGATATTGTGATAAACTTTAAGTCCATGTTGCTCATCCCTGATCTACGTCCAGGTCCGTGTGCAGCCGGCGTGGTCGGACACAAGATGCCTCGCTACTGTCTCTTTGGAGACACGGTGAACACGGCGTCTCGCATGGAGTCCACAGGCCTGCGTAAGACGAGACGCACACGTGAAAACATCCAGATAAAAACTTTTAGAAAGAAGCAGATCTCTAAATCTGACAAGCGGTTTCCACTTTCTCCTCCAGCTCTGAGGATTCATGCCAGCCAGTCCACAATCAACATCCTGCGGAGGACAGACTGCCAGTTTGAGTTTGAAAAAAGAGGAGAGACGTACCTGAAGGTGAGATGATTCATTTTTACTCTCTTAGATCCACACATGTACCACACGTTGCATTTAAACTTGGAGTTTGTCTGTGTTTTCCTGACTCTCAGGGTAAAGGGAAGGAGATGACCTACTGGCTAACAGGTGTCACAGGAAGAACCTACAACCTGCCCACACCACCGACGGCGTGAGTCAAGCCTTTACTACGTTTACGCCAAACATTCAATACGTACGAGGGTCATGATGATGATCTGTCTGTGTTTGTCTCAGGGAGAACTTCCAGAGGCTCCAACAGGACCTGGCAGACATGATCGTGTCCAGCCTGGAGAAGCACCGAGCTGGAAAAGAGGGCTTCGAGAAGAGGAAGACCTTGTCCACCAGAGTCCGCTGGAGAGACACCAACGGCAGTCTGAGGAAGGACGGCCCGCCAGAGTACTTCCACCTGGCCGTCACCGACAACCCCAGCACGTTCCTGTGACGGAGGGCAGAGGAGATTTCTGGGAAAGACTTTTTAAGCCCAGCATTTGGGACTGAACACCTGTTGGGGCCGTTCTGCTGAGTCAGAGTGACGGTGCCGAAGCAGCAGGTGGGTTAACAGTGACGTCATTTCTACAGGTCTCTGCCCAGGTCACAGTCCTCCAAGGTTGAGAGAGCAGCAGGTACTAATGGCTATTACTGTAAGACCTTTAAGCACTGGAATATATTTCACTCCAAACTGATTTGTACAAAGTTTTGCAGTCTTCATTTTCTCTTCTGAGCCAATACTTTGCACTAGATTCATAACATAATTATTATCTAGACTTTAGCTTGAACTTTATGCAATCTGAAACTAAAGTCATTTTTCAGCAAGAAAAAGGGACGAGACGAAAGACGAGGGGGAAACGGTAGCTTTTTGTTCACTTTTAAAGTGTTCTTACTTTTTGTTGTCTGCAGGATTCATTGCAAAGTATGACAAATTATTTACCGTGTAAATAAGCTTTGTTTGCTGCAAACAACAGTGGATCTGCATTCTCTTGCTAATTTAGTAGCTACACTTGCAGAAGTCGAAGTTATATATGTAAATGTCTGACTGGAACTAATTGATATAATAAAAACACAGAACAACTAAACCACTCACCCTCTGCAATATAGTATAAAGCTGAAGGCAATTTCAAACAAATTTCTCTCGAATATTACAAAGATGGCCACCGAGTGAGCTTTTATCTTTGCAGCTGTTGCCAGGTTTATCTTATAAAACGCCAAGTGAGCGCACATCCATTGTTTTCTGTCTTGGCACATCGATGCTACCTTGTTTTTAAAACATCTGATTTGTTTTTGTGTTGATTTTTATTTTGTGTTTTATTAAATAAAGATTTTCAGTGTGGCGCAAAAATTGAAGCATTTTGTGTTTTATGTTGCATTTTTTTTAAACTGTATATTCTGTACAAACTGCTGCAGTTTCAAGACACAAAACATTTTACAACCATTGTAGAAATATAGAAAGTGATATGTAATTCAGATCATATCCAAAAACTCTACAAAATATGGAGAATAACAAGTATTTAAAGGTGAATGACACATTTTTAGGCTTCGATTACTTGGGGAAAACTAAGCTGCATCCTGGAGTTTTTGCTTTTTGTCCAGGAATGAAAAACAGCTTTATGTAGATCTATACTGAAAACATTATAAGTAGACAGAAACACAGATTCACCTCACACAACTCTACACAGTTTTGGCAGTGACTAACGCCGTGCCTCCCAGCTCGGTGGCAGGAAGCGGGACTCTGTGGTCGTCCCTGCAAACGCCGAAGCCGTCCTCACATTTTGGGTTGGGCTGGTGCATCGGGCGACAGGAGCCATCTGAGACTCCCTGAAGGTCCTGACCGTTTTCCTCCAGTTGGGGCGCGTGAAACTCGACTGCTGGTTCTGTTTTCTTCAGAACCTCCTGGACCGAATCCTCTGCAACACCTAGATAAAAATAAATATGGAGAATTCGTACAGTTTCATGTCTCTCGTGTAGGTTTTACTTCATGGTTTTACTCCGTAGTTCTCTACTCAACTTCTTATGAAGTTTGTGCATGTTGTGGGGAAACAATCCCTCAGCATGATGCTGCCACTGCCAAGTTTCACTATGGGTGATGTATGCTGGCAGCAGCTGAAACCGTCCTAAAAGCTAAATTGTTGTCCCTTATAACGAGGTACTAAACTTTTTCTGTGTCCAGGTTTGCACTGTTGTCATGGTAACATACTCCTCCAGAAATACCGCAGCCATCTTGGCTGCTTCTCAGATGAAGGCAGTCCTCATATGGCCTGTCAAGGCTAGGTGGACGGCTATGTTTTTCTAAGTTTGTAGTATTTTTTGCCTTTTTTAACTCTTTATTTTCAGATTGTCCATTAACACAAACAGACACAAGACAACAATAACGTTACACACCAACCAGCGGTTCGTCATATGAACATCCAACAAGGATAAGAACAAAAACCATCTGTGATTTATAAAAACAAAATATCCAGATGCACTCACTGAGATCTGAGATCTTACATCATAGCAACAGTAGCATAACACTACTCTGAATGATAACCTGTTAACATATTCAATGTTCTGCAGTACTTTTCTACTTTTAAACTGTATTAGACAGTGGCGTTTACAAATGGAGGATGAGTGAATACAACTGATGCTGGACTCTCGTCAGTATTCTCTGTATTCCCTAAAAAAGAAGAGGTTGGAATAAAAATTGCAAACCAAATATTTCTGATTCTTATTTGAGATCAAGACTTTTTAAATAAATCACTCTAAACACTCCCCTCGCCTCGGCCAATCGTCCGAACAAAGTCGCGTTTCACAGCAGCTAAACGAGGTAACGCGTTTATCTGCATTCCTGTTTTTCTCGTGTGCAGAGGAACAAATAGAAAACCTCTTCAGCGGGAACAAAACGAAACTGTCGTGCCTGGAGCCTCCTCTGTCCACTTTTAAGTTGTTTCCAGATTATTGAATTAAGTCCGCAATCATATTGCCATATTTATAACACGAAGCACAAAACCCTCCTGGCGGGTTTGGACTCTGAGGGCTGCTGCAGCTGCTGATCTCTGCTCACATGGGAGACGCTGCAGCTGCTTTCGTCAGCAAGGATATGCAGATTTAAACTGACTTTCTGCGCGCTGGGTGGTCTCTCTTTACATTCTTTACTTTACTTTGCACAACACTGAAAATCTTACCAAGTATTTTTGGTCTACTTTCTACTGCAAATGTCTCAGCAAACTTTAAATAAGACAAAACCAATTTAAAAGTAACTTTTCAGCAAGATATAGGAGCTTGTTTTACAGCAATTATTCCTTTATATTGATTAAAAACGTACTAGTTCCACTGGCAGATTATTTCACTTATAAGACATTATTTCCATGATATAAGAGAAATAATAGTGGTACTATACCTTTTCCAGCAATATAAAGTAATTATTAACTTAAAACAAGCTAATATGTCTTTTTGAAAAGTTATTTGTAAGCAGAAGTGGGTGGATGTCCCCAAAAATGTACTCAAGCATGAGTAATTCAACATATTTTTACTCTAGTAAAAGTAGTCGTTCAAGAAATTACAGAAGGGTAAAAAAGTATTTTGGTAAAAAGGCTACTTAATTACTGAGTAACTGATCAAAAACATCAATCATTTAATATTTAAAAATGACATCATCAGGAAGACCGGAATGTAAACTTATGTAGGTATTATGCTGGTATTTTAAAGACCAAAATGAAAATAATTCATATAAATAAAAAAAATAACAAAACTAGGCAAAAATAAATATATTTCCACCTACATTTCTTTCAATGTAGAACTTATGAAGCTTTAAGAAAAATTGCAGAGAGTTTCTGTGTCTGGTTAGTTTTTGGTTAAAATAAACTTGTTTTTCACTCAGTTACTCACAGTGAATCCAGAGCATTTACTCCAGTTAAAGTAGCGATACTTCATAACAAAATTACCCAAGTAAAAGTAAATAGTACAGCATAGTAAAGATACTCCTAAAGTTATGTAATTTTTCTTTTTTTTTTTTTGTTTTACAAAAATGTTACTGAATTAAATGTAGTTACTAAACCAATTAACCTGACAGTCATGTTTTTGGACTGTGGGAGGAAGCCGCAGTACCCGGAGAGAACCCACCATGCAGAAAGACCCCGGTCCAGGAATCGAACCCAGAACCTTCTGGCGGTAAGGCAACAGCTCTACCAACTGCGCATCCCTTTTTAAGTAATATTCAAATTTATTGCATATGACTGAAAATAATTACTAAGGTAATTATTTAATTTAAGGTAAAAAACATGGCAGAATAATTCTAAATTTAAAAAAAATAATAAATTTATAGAAACACTGCAAGAGTTATTTTACTTAACTTAATAAGTTGAACAAACCAATAACAGTAGTTGTTCCAGTTTCATTTTTTACCAAAAACTACATGCTCACATATTAATAAAAAATGTTTAAATTAATGAATAACTGTATTTTTATATAGTTTTCCCTCCTATCTTGATGTACTATTGTGGAGGCAGTTTTTATTTGCCCTGCACCACCAACAGATGCGAGCTGAAACCAGAATAGACGGTGAGGCAGCAGTGAAGACCCAAGAGACGCCTGAGGAGGAGAGAATAGAAACGGTGGAGTTTCTACTGTGATGAGCGTCACGCTTCATCACCTGCCTGCTGCCATCTTGTTTCCTCAAGAAGACTCTCAGAGGCCCCCCTTCCCGCCTCACTGAGAAAGTCATTTAAAAAAGTATGATGCCTGCTAAAAATGTCTTGTGTAGAATATCTTAAAAGTACGAATATGTATATTTCATTATCAAGGTCTTCTATTGACAGCTTTGTTGCCAGACGCCATTTCTGAGTTGAATTTACTTCTACTACCTTAAAGTTATTATACCTTTTTATTATTTTTCAGCTCATTATGTAAAAACAACAACTGGCTTTTAACAAATGACCTAAACTGTTGTAGCATTTGAGCCTACCGTCGTTTTTGCGGGCTTTGCTCTGCCGTCTGAACATGACAAACCAAATGGTCAGAGCCAAGATGGCGCCCAGAGTCACCAGAATCACGCAGATCCACAGAGTCTGACCCAGAAGCAACACGGTCGGCGGACCGGTCGACTTGGCGGGGCTGACTTTTGTTAAGAGCGGGTCCACGACGGTCAGGACTGGCTCTGAGGAGAAAACAGTGAATTTAACTCTCCCCAAAGAGGAAGGTAGGCTGCCGTCAACCCGGTCGGGGGTCGGGTGTCTCTCACCTGTTGGGGGGTGAAGCTTTCGGGTCGGTATCGGCCCCATCTTGATGCAGGTCCTGAGGAGATTGTCCCACGTCTTCCCCTCAGGGCAGTTCTTCTTCTCGGCCATGGCTTCAGAGAGCTGGTGCTCTCTCCTCCTGTGAAATTGTGTTTGCGACAGAAAAAAATGACAAAAAGAGTTTATAAAAAGAAAGATGCAGAGGGGAGAGGTGATGGGAGGATTAGTGAAATGAATGTAGGAAGCACCGGGTTTCAGTTCCTCCTTTTGATGGGAAAGAGTGAATCACTTCATGTGTCCCTGGAGGGCAGAGACAGCGTGCTGTTAAATATACATGAACGTTTCCCCCGTGAGTTACATATAAAAGTGTGAACTAAAGTCAACGTGTGTTTTTTTATTCGTATACTTAAGGTTAATTACAGTTAATTGCGTCCCAAAATGACTGCTTTTAATAAGGCTGCCTTCTCGTTCGTGAGGAGTCATTGAAATAGTTTGCCAAATGAGATTATAACACGTTTTAGTTTTAAATGTTCGCATATTTGGCAAAAATCTTAAATAAGCAGATTTGTATGTTTTATTGTTGAAGGCAAATAAATTGTTTTGTGAATTGTCTGTTCGGTTTCTGTCACGATAGCTAATTTTGCTGCACGATAAATTGTGCCAGATGTTATCACGATAAATGATATTGCTTTGAGATCATTTTCAAGAAATATGGTAATGGGCATAATAATACAAGAGTCTCAAACATCAATAAATTTAAAATTCCAATGGCACTGGGATTTTAATTTTTTTTTTTTATTTTAAATATCCAAAATAAAAACAAAAACAAAACAGAAACAAATAAAATCAATAATGAAGTCTCTGTAAACTCATTTTACTTAAAAAAGGGGGCTAGTTGAGATCGACATGAGATTGAAAACTTTTGTCATCCAGTTTATCATAGAAAGAGACAGAGAAAAGAGAAAAATGATAAATCATGCCAATTGAAATTGAGCTTGTTATAATTTATAATGCGATTAATAGATTTATTGCTTAATGCAACAGGCCTGGTGAAACCTTAACACCCCAAACATTGTACTCAACAATAGCGCTACTCAAACATATTTTTGTTCAAGCAAAACTAAAAAGTAGAAATAACTGATAAAAATAACCATTTAACATTTGAAAATTGCATCAGTGGGACCAAAATATAAAGTTATGAGGAAATTTTGATTTAAAGATCAAAATGAAAATAATTACAAAATAACAAAATCAGGTACAAAATTAAAAAAAAAAATCCAAATCAGTTTGTTTCAATTTAAGACTTATGAAACTTTAGCAAACACTAAGATTTATTCGTTTCTCTAGAATTGGCTTCAGGTATGAGTGTGTGGGGTGTGTGTGTCTCTTTGTTGCCGTGGATACAAGTACCAAGCCCCCAACCTGACCCGGGAAGGACAGAAAGGTAAAACCAAGGACGGATGGATGGTAGACATTCAAACAAATCAAAACAAGACAACATGGTAAAAATGAAAAAGTTTATTATAAAGCAAGATCCATGAAATGCTAACGATACACATTTTGCAGCAAAACATACAGGCTAGGAGAAAAACACAAACCTGAGATGCTGCTTTTTTGGCATAGCACAAGACTTAAAGTGAATAAATCATGTCAGCAGAGAGAATCAGCACCTATTGCACAGTTTGATTGATAATGAAGATAGTGTTCTGCATGCATGAGGAGATTCAAGTGTTTAACAAGTAACAGGGCATTGATTTGGCACTTTTATTAAATCAATAAAGTCGCTATCAGTGTTCAAGGCACTAAAGGAAACACACTCCTGTAATAGTGAATCATTCAATTCAACCTGAGTGAAAAAATGAGAGAAATAATCTGATTTAGAAGCTTTTTGGGAAGTTTAACAACCTTTCTTTTGTAAGAAATCAGCAACAGATTGTACCTGGAGTTCTGAAGATTCATCTCACAAAAATCATCAGGGAAGACGGCTTTCTTTGTGTCTCAACACACACACGCACTCGCGCAAGCACACACACACGGCTCATGGCTCAAAGAGAACAGGCTGCATCCTGACAAACGTGAAGTTGTAGTACTGCGGCAGGCCCTGGTGGCTGATGCTGCTGAACTTGTCCCAGACGAATGGAGGCAGGCCGTCCTGCGTCGTCGGCCCGTTCACCGCCTCGGCCACGAAGTTACCCGCCATGTAGAAATCAGTCACCTGGACGGGAAGCGAAACGGTGAGCAGCAGGTCAAAGCAATAAAAACACTAATCCTGCACACGGTCGTGTTTTGGTCGTACCTTAGTGTCATAGCAACCTCCTGGCGAGGGCCTCTCGAATCTCAGGTCGTTACGGCAACAGATGGTTTTGCATGGGTTGCTCTCAGAGTACGGATCTTTCTTGTAGTCTTAAAAAAAACAACATGTTGGGACTTTTGGATGGATAACTGAACCTTTGCAGGAAACCTTTACACACTTTGTCACATTAAAACAACAAACTTCTATGTATTTTATTGGGATTTTTACACCAATAATCCATAAAATTATCCATTTCAGAATTGTGCAATACTTTGTCCTGGTAAAGTCGTGCATAACGTGTTTTATCCCAATAAAACACATTGTAGCTGTGATGTGACAAATCATGCTAATGGCTCCAGCGGTCTGCGTCACAATAACCTGGCATTTAAACAGGGGTGTGAATGAGAGTCTGATGCCACAAAGCGACATGGAGCAACTCACCGTTGTATCTCATGATGCGTTTCAGAGAGTCCAGGTCCTTCACGTTGGCCTGGTCGCGCCGGAAGATCTTGGCCCTGGGGCAGAGGTCGTAGGAGAAGTCCTCTCCGTACTCCAACCACATCTCCCCATATCCGCTCAGGATGTAGATGTTCCGGTGGAAGGGAATGTTGTAGGACGGCCAGTGACCTGCAGGCGGCGAGAGAGAGAGAGGGAACGATGCTCTCTACGGATCGACAAGGCGAGCGGAGTCAGAAACGGAAACGGGCGATGCGTTACCACTGCGCAGAGCTTGCGTCTGGTCGGAGAACTCCACCAGGCCGGGGATCTGCTCCACCACGGTCAGAGCGCCATCTTCAATGCTGCTGCCTAGCTTCACCTTGCTCCTGTCCACCACCATATACTGGTTGTTGTAGGTGCCTGCAGAAGAGTGGTCTTAACTTTACATTCTTGGAGAAAAAATTAGAATGAGTGTATAAGATTACTCTGTACCAGAGTTGTGTTTGGAGAATATTTTGGCCCATTCCTCTCCCGAGTGAGCCAAGCTGTGAGACAACCGGACCCTCTGCCACGACAGCAGGCTGTTGGGAGTGATTTGGTCAAACAGGGAGGAGTTGAAGACGTTGTTGGTGGTCTGGGTCATCATCAAGCCGCTGCCCAGGAGGTAGAAATCATCCAGAGACACAAGGAAACCTGGAGAGGCAAAACGAAGGATGGATTTGTCGTCCAGAAGACGATGAGAGGCGAGCAGAGAAGACTGTCCGGGACGTTTAGTTACCCGGGTAGCTGCTGAAGGACAGTTTCCCGGTGGCTGTGTGCGGCTCGGTGATGTGGAAATCCCAGTGCTTGTAGATGCGCATGGTGGCAGCGTATGTGTACCAGCTGGAATGGGCAAACAGGAGGTCCTCATAGCCTGGAAGCATCTATAGAGGAGCAGGAGGTCAGAGGGTACAGTAAGGTTACGATATGAAAACACATTTCCAGATTTACTTGTTTCTGTAACTCATACTTCAGTAATATGATTATTAAGTAACATAATATGATGAAGACTATACTGTCAGACTGTAAAAAAAAAAAAAACATCTGAGTGAACATGGATAGTCTTCACAGGATCCTGTAGGGATGGGCATTTATCGTATCGGTTATCATTTATCGTGATAAATTTCTTAGCATGATAAGAATTTAGATTTATCGTCACAATAAATTCCAATTAATGATGTTCAAAAAAATCCCCCGACTCTCCGTTTTGTTTGTTTTGGTAGTTTTATGATTTTCTCCCCTGTTTGTTCAATGAGGATATGAATAAATATCAATAAATTTGAAAATATGATTAAATGCAGTTACATGTGGTTAGCTTAGTGATGCAGATCATCCTTCTTTAAGTGACCCGTGTCCTAAAGAACCGTATCACAAAAGGGGAATGTTTCTGAAGTATTCATGTTGTGGCGCTATGATTGTTACGTCATGCAAATCATCTTTTGGCAATAAGGAGGGGATTATGTTTTTGCAAAAATAACTTTTGAAAAAAAAAATAATTTCAGGAAGGTGACGATAATGATATCGATTGATTCTGATCAGGTACATTGTGCATCTCTTGGTAAAATATGACACTTGTGGAAAGGAACAGCTGCAAATATAACCGATCTGACCAATTGGTGCATCTCAGTCAGAAATATGTATGTCAGCACTTCCTACTTCAGCATGACTGTATGTCAGCTGGCACATGGCTGATGTGTTATGGAGATATTTTAAGGAAGTGTGACATTCTACTGCAATTCTTTCTCTAGAAAGGGCCTGCGCAGCCTGAATGGGGTTAGCTGCCTTACCTTGATGAGTGCAGAGCAGTGACCCATCCCTGGAAGCTTGAAGTCTCTGAGCAGAGAGTTGGAGCCGGGCACCAAGGCCGGGATCAGGTCCAGCAGGTCTCCCACCGCGTTTAGGAACTGGACGTCGAACAGCGACAGCGGCTGTGGGAAGAACGGCGGATTAGCAGCTGGTCAGGGAACGAACACAAACAGAACGCTGATCGCAAGCTAAATGTTCTTATTCATCATGTTATGATTATATTCTTATATTATTTTGATCTTATTTTATACGACTTCATCCTTTTAATACCCTCTGACGACCAGTAGTTCATTTTTGTCCTCTGTAGAGGACATTTCTAAACTTGAATATCTCCCACCTCCTGCATTCTACTGAATTAATTCCTTTTGGCATCTGCAGAGGACATTTAGGGCTTTTCATTGATACCACATGTAAAGGGGTGGGACTTTTGTACGTACCTTTTTCTAATTCATAAAAATGGCATTTATCAGTAATAACACATTTTATGGGAAGAGACAAAGTAAGTGCATAAAACCTTTTATTACCTTACAAAGATTGTGGGATTAAAAAAGAAATGGTGATTGGACAATATTTTTTTCCTGGTAGTCAGGAGGATATTACGACTTTAGTTTCCCACTTTATTTTATTTTTTTCTCAGCTTGGCCCTAAAGCTGTGTTGTAAAACTGAAACTGTAAAAATGAGCTTCTGTAGTTAGTTTA